AACCACCCCCCTCCCTGCCCAACATCCACCCAATGCAAACCCGATCCAAAGCTGGTACCTTCTGTCCCAAACAAATCCTAAATCTCAACACCGTTGCAACCATTTCCCCCTTACCACCAACTTACCGTAGTGCTCTCAAGGATCCAAACTGGCATGCTGCTATATGTGATGAATATAATGCTTTGATCAAGAATGATACATGGGAATTAGTACCCCCCACCCCCACACAAAATATCATCACCGGTAAATGGCTCTTCAGACACAAACTTGGCCCTTCAGGTGAGTTAACCAGGTATAAGGCCCGATGGGTTGTTCGTGGCTTCAATCAGCGTTTTGGCGTCGACTACGGTGAAACGTTCAGCCCCGTTATTAAGCCTGCCACCGTCCGCGTCGTCCTTAGTCTCGCTCTGTCTCGCGGTTGGCCCATTCATCAGCTAGATGTCAAAAATGCTTTCCTCCATGGCCAGCTTCAGGAAACTGTGTATGCCAGTCAGCCGTCTGGTTTCCAGGATGCCAAACGCCCTCATCATGTCTGTAAGCTCAAAAAGGCCTTGTACGGCCTCAAGTAGGCACCTCGCTCATGGTATCATAGGTTTGCAGGTTTCATTCAGACTATTGGGTTTCAAGGGTGCAAGTCTGACACGTCCCTCTTCACTTTTTCTCATGCCACGGGCACGGCCTATCTCTTACTTTATGTCGACGACATCGTCCTCACTGCCTCTTCACCTGCACTCCTTCAGAGCATCATTCGGAAACTCAAGGCTGAGTTTGCCATGACAGACATGGGCGACTTACATTTCTTCCTCGACATCAACGTCCATCGCACCTCCACTGGGATGTTCCTCCATGAGACTCAGTTTACCCATGACATCCTTGAGCGGCCTGGGATGGTCTCCTGTCGTCCCATCTCTACGCCAGTGGACACAAAGGCAAAACTATCATCCTCAGCTGGGACGGCCCTTCCAGATCCGACGTTGTACAGGTTCAATTGTTGGAGCTCTGCAGTATCTCACTTTCACTCGACTTGACATCACTTACGCCGTCCAGAAGCTTTGCCTTCACCTCCACGCACCTAGGGACGTGCATCTCACGGCCATGAAGCGGATCCTCCGCTACCTGCAGGGCACGGCCACCCATGGCATTCATTTGACACGGTCCTCTATAGACTCTTTGCAAGCATACTCTGATGCAGACTGGGCTGGATGTCCTGACACTAGACGCTCCACTTCTGGTTACTGCGTCTTCCTAGGCGATAACTTGGTCTCCTGGTCATCCAAGCGTCAGGCCACTACGTCCCGATCCAGTGCCGAGGCCGAGTACCGGGCTGTTGCGAATGCCGTAGCTGAGACATCCTGGATCCGCAACCTCCTCCTTGAGCTACGGCAGCCACTCCGACGTACTACCCTTGTTTTCTGTGATAATATCAGCGCCGTCTACCTATCATCAAATCCGGTACAGCACCAGCGGACCAAGCATGTAGAGGTCGACATACACTTTGTTCGGGATAAAGTAGCCCTTGGGCAGGTGCGTGTCCTTCATGTGCCCTCTTCTTCCCAGTATGCAGACATCTTCACCAAAGGCCTACCATCTCTGCTCTTCCTCGAGTTCAAATCCAGCCTAGGCATCCGACCTCCTCCACATCCGACGTAGCCGGGAGCATGCTAAATATATTAATTATATTTATTATTCTTGTAATTATTGTGTTACCATACTTGTATAGGTTTCCTAAATATGGCTCTCCTACTATGATTAGGATTGAAGCCTCTACTATATATTGATGTATTCTCTACACAATTATTCAATGAAAATATTCTTTCTACATTTATATTGGAGTATGATGCCACACATAGTGAGGAAACTGAGGAAGTATAAAATGATATTTTACCTAAAATTGTCATGCATGCATTGAACCTAGATGAAAAGCTAGCTATGTTCCACACTAAAAATATCAAGAAGAAAAATGGCAAGTAGCCCCGCAGATGGCACAACAGAGTTGGCAGATTAGCTCATTTGCCCCACCCAAAAGAACATTTGTAGCAAAAAAATAATGCATTTGGAAAAGGCATTCATTATGTAATGAGCTCCACCTCCTTTTCCCCTATAATAGATCATTCATCTCTTATTCACTTGCAACATTGTGATCATAATTATAGCAGCACAAAAAAGCAACTGAATTCTCTCCTCAATTTACCCATCAAGTTTAAATTTATTGATGATCTTTATCAATGGCTGCTGCTGTGTCATCACCTATCACAGCCATCTCCATGGCTTCTGCTCAAGCAAGAAGAGGAAAACAAGATGCTACTAAGACAGTTTTGGCGCGCTCAGGTGTTAGACAATATTAATAATTATCTCTATTATAGTATTATTTGTATTTTAGTCAGCTCCTATTATTGATTCCTAGTTCTAGTTGAGGTTGACTCTCTTTCATATATATTTTGCCATGTATTTAATTATTCCTTGAGCAATACAATTATTCCATTACTCAATATCAGGCAATCGTGTTTCGATCAATAACAACATATTATCCAAGAAAGCTGCTACATCGCCGTCGTTGTCATCATCAGCTGCGAACCACGAGATTAAGGTTTTTTCACAATCTAGAATATTGTTGGTTCCATGTTCCGTCCTTTTTTAAATCTTCGCGTGTTTGGCCGGTCTAAAGCAGGTCTTCGAAGATGGACCAAAGGGTATTGTTTGTTACAGAGATGAAAGTGGGGAGGTAACTTGTGAAGGGTACGACGAAGGTCCGAGATTTTGCCCGCAATTCTCAAGATTTTCTTGTAACCCAAGGTAACATCACAATGATACTCCCTCCGTCCCTAAATAAAGTTCCATTTTTGACTTTTTGAGGATTTAAGAGAAGGATATTTTGGTGTTGACTTTCCAAAAATACCCTTGATGTGATGTGTTAAAGTAAGATGTGATAGGTAGATTATTAGTAAAAAGGTATGATGTGATAGGTAGGGTATGAAAAAGTAAGAGGTAAAAGAGAAGTTTATTTAGGGACAAAGAAAAAACGAAAGAGGAACTTTATTTAGGGACTGAGGGAGTATTTGTTAGGAGATGATTGATTAGGTGGCATGATCATTAAACGAACTCTCTTAGTTATTATGGTTGAATTAGTGTTGAGGATATATAATCACACGCTGAACACCCAAGCAAAAAAAGAGCCTAATATATAATTGAGAATATGAGTTACTTTCATTACTGTGATCAATTGATTTTGAGTTAAAATTTCATAGTTCTGCCGATATATATAACTAGCACCGTTGGGTGATCTTACTGTTGTTTTTCTTTTGGTTGCTAGAGACTCTGAGACTATTGATCATCTGCAAAAATGTTGGCTTCAAAGGCATTGATAACACTGAAATGTAATACTACTAACAACGGAGACAAGGGCTTTTTCGGCAAAACAGGCATTTGAATGACAAGTCTCACTTTGAACTAAAGGCAAAAACAACAGCTATATAATGGCTTGATTACATGTCTATGTAGTTTGTCTTCTACTTTGTACAAGATATATGTAAAAAAAATGAAACCTAATATCCATGCATACTAAGTTCTAGGAATAAATAAAGGAAAAGGGTTTTTAATTTGTCCCTATAAATAAGAAAAAAAGATTAAAGTAAAAGTTAAACATTGAAAAATATACTAAAATAGGATTTCCATGTTTTGATTCTCGAAATAGGAGTTAAAATGTATTTACATTATCAATCATGATCATGTACATTACATACATAAAATATACATACACAGTGCCACATTACTATAGTACTATTTAGGGTATAAAAACATGAAACTCCTAGTTTGTTTACTCTATTTTGATTTCTTTATAAATAAATTGTCCACACATGTTGTATGAATGACTTTTCTATCCATGTCACTATATGAACTTTAGCCTGATCCCAAGTCATGAATATCATTGAACTCAATCTGACCATAGTAGTAGTCATCAAACCAGGTATTTTTAGAAACAATTAAATGATCGATTTACTAGAGCATATGTCTAGAATATGAGAACTTATAGTACAGTATAAAGTTTTGAAGTTAAGTCAAATATAAGTTTGAGTATAATCAAACTTGCCAAGAAAAAGGATTTAATTACTAGAGCATACCATGTGTAATTTGACTTTTCCTCAAATTACACAAATTATTTTTCAAAAGTAATTTGATATCATAAAATTCAAGAGTAAAATACATACTCTTGAATTTTATTGACATTACTACAAGAACTAATTTTAAAAAGTAAAAAAAGAATTGTAGTTGCATATGATGTACTTCCTCAGTTTCTTAAAACATTTCATCTTTCAGTTTTTGTTTTCTTTAAAACACTTTCACTTTCTATTTAAAAACTATTTTTACCCCTATTTATTCCTATTATACTTATCACATCATACATTTTCACTAAAACAATATCCATCACATCTTACTTTTATCCATCAAATTAAAGATAAAATTGGAAAGTCAATTACAAATATACACTCCTTATTTTTCTAAAAAGTCAAAATAGAAATTGTTTTATGAAATAGAAGGAATATATAACAAAAAAATCATTTCCCAATAAAAAGAGGAATAATAGAGAGTATGTACTTTTATTATATGCATAAACTTTATCAAAATTCCATAGAGACTTGAAGTGGCGGAGGACCGAAGCCAATATTGTCCTTATTCAAAATTCATCGACGTGAACCTAAGAGGTTGAAGAAGAAGCACAAGACATTGGGCTGGGCTATCCCGAAGTGGACAATTAGGATGAAATTATAATTATAATATCGAAGGACTACTATGGAAAACACTTAAACATAAATGACCATTTTGTATAAAACTTATTTTAAATTCAGATGATAAAAAATATCAAAATATACCTCACTTAACAATAATTAAAAATTGTTGTTGTTGAGGATATTTAATTATCTCATTTAAATATATTTCTTTTGTAATTATCCTAACTGTGGTAGTTAGCTATATGCCTAGTCTCTCCATGTAAATAGGATCGGGTAGCCCTCTTCCCTTGCATTTAGGAGCTTATTGTTGTACATTCCCTCTATAATTGTTTGCTCAATTATCAATGATAACACAATTCATCCATTTATCTATATGGTATCCGAGCTTCTTTACTCTTAATCGAGATTTTTTTTCCGATCCCTATCTCTTGCTCTTTTCTTTCCGACGATGTCAACCTCTGTCGATGAACCCTATGCTGCCCGCCCCAAAACACTTTCCTATCAAACTTACTAAATCCAATTCTCTTGTTTGGCGTCGCCGGGTTCAATCCACCTTGATTGGGATGAACTTGTTGGGCTATCTTGACGGCTCCATCACAGCTCCCAAACAGTTCCTGGATACGCCGTGTACTAAGTTGAATGGGCGCTCTACTACGGCTTATGTAATCTATCTCGGCACTAATGTTATATCTTGGAAGTCGGTTCGTCAAAAGTCTATTTCAAGATCCTCTACTGAAGCTGAGTATCGTGCCCTTGCACATGCTACTGCTGAAACCCTTTGGATATGGAATTTACTAACTGAGCTTGGCTTCCCAGTTTTAGCACCACCAACCTTATTTTGTGATAATTTGGGTGCTACGTATGTTTGTAAAAGCCCTGTTTTTCATTCTCGTCTGAATCATTTGGCCTTGGACTACTTCTTTGTACGCAAACTTATAGCATCCGGGAAGTTGCATGTTCGACATATTGCTTCTGGTGATCAAACGGCTGATGTTCTTACGAAACCTTGCCTGCTGCCCCGTTTCTCCGACTACGTTCCAAGCTAGGGGTTCCTGACGGCACCCCAATCTTGCGGGGGCGTGTTGAGGATATTTACTTATCTCATTTAAATATATTTCTTTTGTAATTATCCTAACTGTGGTTAGCTATATGCCTAGTCTCTCCATGTAAATAGGATCGGGTAGCCTCTTCCCTTGCATTTAGGAGCTTATTGTTGTACATTCCTTGTATAAATGTTTGCTCAATTATCAATGATAACACAATTCATCCATTTATCTATAGTTGTTTGGGAAAGACTTTCAAAGGAATATATCTTAATTTTAAATAAGTAATTATGAGATAGTACTTATTAAACTGATAGAATTTGAAAGCACTATTTCAAAAATTTATAAGTTTAAATGATAAAAATACTTCCTCCGTCCAAGTTTAAAGTTCCACTTTCCTTTTCGGTCCGTCCATAAATAATGTTTCCATTTCTTTTTTTAGTAAGTTTTCTTTATTAAAATGACTTAAGTGCCCTTACTTCCTATTTCTTTTTTTCTCATTCATTCCTGCCGCAGCCCCCTCTTTCTCTCTCTTGTCCTTTCCTTTTCTGTCCTTTCTTCTTCGAAACTTCCTATTTTCATTTCTTCTTCTTCTTCTTCTTTGGTTGGAAAAGATGCCCACGTGAATTCTTAAATGTTGAGGCTGCGCAAAATTTTCTTTGGTTGGAAACTTGATCGATTTGGGTCGCCAGAATTTTGTTCTGGCCGTCTGGGGTTGGTTGGGGCCAGTAATGTTGACAGGATAGGTATGGGGGGAAGTGGGGTAAGGTGGAGAATATTTTGGGAAAGTCAATGTAAATTTCAATTTTATTAAACTCCCTTTCCCGTCAAAGTGGGAACATTAAACTTGGACGGAGGAAGTATTAAAATACCGTGAACTTAACAACTAAATTTATGGGTTTGTAATTTTAATATTTGTATGAGATAAATGTAATTATTCTTTTTTGTCATTTCTTACTAGGTTTGAATCTTTCACTTCTATATTTTTATTATGCAGCAATTATAATCTTATTAAAAATTAGTCTTTTTTTATAGCAAATCACACTTTAAGTCTTTATTTGTTTTTAAAAAAATAATTTACTCCCTATTAATCATTCTAAATTTTTACAAAAAAATAAAAATTATATTAGGAGGAAGCTTCTTAAACGTCTTGAGAACACGTGCAAAGTGTTACGTTAGGCCGGAATCTTCAAAACCTCGCCGGAGATTTGTCGTTCACAACTTTAATCCATCCCTCGCAAATCATAATAAATGTGGTATAGATCGGCTTCCTTCATTCTCGACAAGCAGCAGAACGACGACGTCGCGAGGCTTGAGAACCGCCAAACTTCACATCTAGCACCCGCCGCCGCCGCCGCATCCTCAATGGCGGAAACCCTACATAGCAATAACCTGAATCCCGATAACATCTCGGCTTATTACCAGACCAGAGCAGCTCACCACGGGGTCGTCACCAGCGACTGGCTCGCTCAGGCTCGAGACGCCGTCGACGGTGACCGGGACGATGTGTTTACCAAGAGCTCGTTGAAAAATTCCGGCGAGTCCGGGACAACTTTTAGCGTGGTTGATGAGTTTAATAATTGGCGTAAACAGCCAAACTTGGCTGAGGCTGTGGCGGCGATTAGGGCATTGGCATCCGTTATTCGGTCTAGTGAAGCTACTACTATGATGGAGCTTGAAATTGAGCTGAAGAAGGCCTCCGATTCTTTAAAGGTATGACGATTTTCGTTTCCTAATCGATTCTACTACTCACTTTTTTAAAAATCAGGATGAAATTGTGGAACATATGACAAACTTTGGAATCTGATTCAGTAGTTGAAGCAATAGGTTTACACAGAACAGTACAATTTAGAGTTAACACCTTGTGACAGGGATATATTTATGCTCTTATAGGACAGGATTAATCTCACTAGCTGGGTCTGTGATTTGATTGATGAATGCAGTTATGTGGAAAGTTTGAACATTAGTTCCACTGCTTATTTTGATCATTCTGTTTGTAGCAACAATGAACAATCATATTTATATAGAGTTTTTCTCAGATAATTGATTGAACTAACAAATTCTTCGGTTATAGAATGCTACATACTAGCTAATGTGTTCCCTATATATGTGTTGTTAATCCAGTCATGGGACACGACATCCATTTCGTTGATGGCGGGCTGTGATCTGTTTATGCGCTATGTCACAAGAACTTCAGCCTTGGAATATGAAGACTTCAATTCAGCTAAAACTCGTCTTCTTGAGCGCGCAGAGAAATTTGGAGAGATATCCTATAAGGTGCACAGTGCACATAGTGAATATCAATCAAGTGAAGTATGTTTATCTTAAGTGCTAGTGCATGAAAACTGCGCTTCTAATGCAGGCTCGGAAGATAATCGCTGTGCTTAGTCAAGATTTTATTTTCGATGGATGTACCATTTTGGTGCATGGCTTTTCCAGAGTTGTGTTTGAGGTATTGAAAACAGCAGCACAAAATAGCAAGCGTTTTCGAGTTCTATGCACTGGTGAGTATCATGATTCTCCAATACTTACTGACCTAAATATAATATTTGCAAAGTACGAATCCAGAGGAGAAAGGGGAAGTGGGATGAGAGTAAAAGAGTTGGTTTCTTTAGGGCATGCTCGTTATCGTTTTCTTTTTCTATTTTCTGAAACTAAAAATAAAATAATAAAAACCTGGGAAAAATGGGCTTTAGATTTTAGTTGTCTAATGTGATCAGTACAAGGTACTTTTTGGTTCATCATATAACATTTATCGTATAACTTGAAAAACCATAAAAAGATAAATTCTGGTAACAATGCTGAATGTGCCCTTGTATT